CATGACTCAGATGAAAATAAGGACGTTTGTGAAACTGACTGGCCTGAAGAAACAAATAGATTCCACAAGCTCCCCTCCCCCCGTGTGACCCCTTGCGGACTCTGCAGGACCCACTCCACCTTCAGCTTCCTCGTGGTTTTGCAGCTAGGGCCGCCATTGCTGGGAGAGAGAAACGTGCCACTTCCCCGAGAATGGAGCAAGGCCATGAAGTGGCTGGTTGGGGAAGAGTCCTGCCCACAAACTTTGGTGTTGGACAGGCTTGCAACGAAGGGGCTGTGACCTGCCTTTCTCAGTGCCCCCCCCTTTTCTCCCTGAGTACTCATAGTGCTTTGTAAGAGGCAATGTAGTTCCATCCCTGCAAGCTTACATTGGAGGGTAAAGGAGAAGGTTTTATTGTTTTGCATTCTTTTCCCTCAATCTCCTTCTTGTTGGCTGCTGAAAAGCATCAAGCTCTGAGGGAATGGAATGGAAAAATGGAATGGAAAAATCCAAGACCCCCGGCTTCAGTCCACCTCACCCTGGTTACTCCACTGTTTTATCTACTTATTCTCCCCACCCCATTACAAATGCATCTTGTGAGCTGCTGTTGTGCACAAATATTTAAAAGGGTGAGTGAGTGAAGCCAACCTCTCACTGGTGGAAAGGAAAACTATTTAAAGTTTGTTTTCTTAGTTTTAAAAATTGGAAAAAAGTTGGTAGTTTCTCTCTCTCTCCCTCCCCGCCCCGCCCCATTCTTGTCTCCCAAGCCTTGCATGATGTGGCTTTTACTTCTCTGTCCCTCCTGGGGTCTGGATGGCTCTTTGCTGCTGCTGCTAGAAGCAGCAGAGGGTGTTTTTTCATCTACTTCCATGTTTCCTGGACACTTTTCTATTTCAAGAGGTTTCCTTTTTGCAGGGGTGGGGGGAGGCAGAATGGAGTGAGGTGGGGTTGGGGGTGTTGTTTTTTCAAGGCACTGGTTTACACAACCATTTTTAACTACTGCCCGGGCGAAACAACACAGAGAAGTGGGAGTGGTGTGATGGCTGGGCAAGCCCCTTCTCCCTCACCTGAAGAAAGCGGGGAAATGAAGGGCTTGCATGGCTTTGGGCAGGGGTGTGAGGGCTCTAACAAGGTCCTAGAGTCCACCCGTCTTCTTCCCAAAGCCTAGTAAGCACTAAGTAGGCTTTGGGGAAGAACCACCGTACCTCCTTCTGCAACCCCCATCCGCTGGCCAGGAGAAATTGTGGCATCCCAGGAGCAAGGCAGAAACTGTAGAAGCTTAACTAATTCCGTGGCTGTCCCAGCCAAATCAGGACTGTTGAGGGGTATGGTAAGTTTCCGTGAGGATGGGGGTTGCATTTGAATTCTGCCATGGTCTAAATTAGGTGTGATATTGCTAAAGTTAGGCACTTTAAGTCACATTGATTTGGTTTCAATATTAAGCATTTAACTACAAGCTTGCATTTCTCCTACTGAGATCAATGGGGTATGCAGCTCAAATCTATGAACGTCTCTCATTTTTCCAATCTTCAGTTCACTCCTCCACACCAGGTTGCAGTTTGCAATTTGCTGCTTGCATCTCCTTCCTTCCAAATGGCCCACCCCTTGACAACCATTGATCACTCTGAGCCAATCCATTCTGACTTGCAGCGATTTGTGGCTGTGTTTACACCAGACCTCAAATATCCCTGATTTGTCTCAGGGCTTGGCCACATCCTGTGCTCAAGTATACATAGATCTGAGCTTCACAAAAAGGGAGTGGGACAGGACAGTCTCTGCCTCTGTCTCTCTCACTCATGTTTGTGAGGGTGTACGAGTGTGTGTGTGTTCTCTCTCTCTCTCTCTCTCTCTCTCTCTCTCTCTGTGTGTGTGTGTGTGTGTGTGTGTGTGTTTGTGTGTGTGCAAGAGATAATCTGAAGAGAGAGGGAGATCCTCTACTATATCAATTCCATTGAGCTTTAAGCAAATAGGTCTTCTTTGGGGTCCTGCCTTACAAATACATAGAATAAGATTATGAGCAATAATAAACTACTGTACTTTATTTATTTTTTCCAAACATGCATGACACATCACTATAGAACAAATCATAAAATAAAACACTTAGTTTATATACTAATTAATTTATTAAAATATAGGGAAACAAACTACACACACACTGAAAAGGGAATCATGTAAACTGCGAAACTTAACGCCCAAAAAATTGAAATGCAAGAAGTATTGGCTGTGACTTTTGTCTGTAAAGCTCCAAATATTTACAAGAAATGCAGTAACCAAATGATAGCAAGCAGCAACTGACAATCAGCCAATCTTCATAGGTTGGCTCTGCTAATTTAACACCCACAGCAGGATAGAAAACCTTGGCTCTGATTGGGCCCTAAACAAATAAATAAAGTTATGCCTCAAAGTGGTTCTTTCCTTGTTCTGGAACGTGAGGATATTTCTATCGTGATGCAAAGCACATTTTCTTGATGCTGGGAAGGGACAGTATCTGTGACTAATAAACCACTGATGTGATGGGCCAGCATGGAAAGTCTGCCTCAGTGCCAACACTGGCAAACAAAATGTTTGGGGATTTGTTAAGCACTGTGTGCTGCTGAGCAATTGTTGTGGTGGCATCTAATTTCTGAGTAAAAACAAAATGATGAATCAGAGAGCTGATGGATTCAGCCTCTCCTATCATGTTTTCATTACTAAACGAAATCTCAGAGTTTGCACACATAGACAGCACTTGATTTTTTCATGGAGGTACTGAGCATTTCATGACAGGTTCTTTATTTACCCAGACATTCTTCTTTAATTCTTAGTATTGTGTTGCTTCTTGTATCATCATTATCATCACCACCACCATCAACAGCAGTTAAGAAGTAACTATATCATATAAATATCTGCTCAGTCACCTAATGAGCTGATAGCTGAGGCTGGTATGATTTTGTTTTCCCATTTCTTTGAAATTCAGGACAAATCATTGTTTTGACTTATCAGACAATGTCAAGATGTCAAAAGTGGAAAGTTTATGGGTGTTAGAAAATGGTACAACACCTAAGAACATGGTGTTCTAAACCGCTTGCTTCTTTCCTTCTTTCTTTCAGATGAATAATAACAATATTTATACCAGTTGAGTGTTAATACAGGTACAAAATCACAGTTCAGAACAAAATGCAGTAATAATATATTCAGTCCGCCTAATTGTAATACCTTTTTTAGATATAGTAGCTGTCAGAATGCTTCACAGACATTGTTTTAGCCAAAAGAAGGTAAAGGTATATATATTTGTAGATTCCCCATTAAAGAGAAAGGAGAAAAATAAAGACATTTGTTTTCCCCATAGTGGCTCTGAACTCAAAGCACAGACTGAAGGCAAAGAGCACAATGCAATTCAGAAACAGATAAGGTTTTTTTAAAAAAGTGCACAGATATAGACACAAGGTGAATTTGGGGGGCCATGCACATCTGTAATCTATACATATACACACACTACATGCATACATATATTCCTTATTGCTGGAAAGCAAATATTGAAGGATAAAAAAGTTAATTTACATTTTCCACCTTATTTAAAATGTCAATTAAATCATTTTAAATTTATTTTCTTATATATATGTAAATTAGAAATTGGCTTGTGAATATTTCATGCTGACATGAGTTGGTTACTCTGAGTTTCCATGGATATTAATAAGCAAAGATCAGGATCTCAGACAGCAAGAGGATATTAGAACAAGGTTAAACATGATCTTCAACAGAGTCATCCCTCGAGATCCATGGTTTTTCAATTTGCAAGATTTTACAACTGTGGGAGAGTTGGATGCATTTCAAGTGCTGTTGCTGTTGGTTTTTAAAAAGAAAAAAGAAAGAAAAGCATTTACAGCTGCCAAAAGGACCTGTTTTAGGGATCTGAAAAGTTGGCAGGCGAATATCAGAGTGCAACGGAATGAATACACCAGTGAGATAAAAGGTAATCTGTTCCAAATGTAAGGAATGCTGAAAAGATATGAGAAACTTCACTTTGTTCTCCAGTGTGTATGTTTCATTGACACTTACTTATTAGATATGTTTATGGCAGCTTGTCTTTTAAGTCCTGGTTCCACAAAAACACTTAAGCATTTGCTTCTCTGTAAAGTGTAAAACCAGAAATAAGCATTTCTGTGTGATTCCCAAGTGAAGTTCCCAGGTGATTATTAAGGGGAAGGTGGCTCGAGGAACCAAATGACTACGTAGTTTGATGAATGGTTGAAGGAGCTGGATGTGCTTAGTCTGGAGAAGACATGGTGGGGGTGGAAGACACAATAGACCATTTCAAATATCCTGAAGGGCTCTCACATACAATATAGGAAAAGAAGAAGAAGCTGCCTTATACTGTATCAGACCCATCAGTTCATCTAGCTCAATACTGCCTTTGCATTGGCAGGAAGCGGCTCTCCACAGTTTCAATCAGGGAGCATTCCTGGCCCTACCTAAACATTCTGGAGACAGAACCTTTTGCATGCTGTTCCAGAGGACAAGGCTACTAATAATGGGTGGAAACTGCAAGGAATCATATTTCAGTGAAACATCTGAGGAAACTTCCTGCTGGTTATAACTCTTTGACAGTGGAAGAGACTTCTTCAGGAAGTGGTGAGTTATCTTGCACTGACATAAGCTGGGCAAACTTCTGTCTGGTTACTGTAGTTGCAAGATTCCTGTACAGAAAACAGGAGGTTGGACTAGGTGACCCCAAACTCCCCCCTACTACAGTGGTACCTCGGGTTAAGTACTTAATTCGTTTGGGAGGTCCGTTCTTAACCTGAAACTGTTCTTAACCTGAAGCACCACTTTAGCTAATGGGGCCTCCTGATGCTGCCACGCTGCCGGAGCACGATTTCTGTTCTCATCCTGAAGCAAAGTTCTAAACCCGAGGTACTATTTCTGGGTTAGCAGAGTCTGTAACCTGAAGTGTATGTAACCTGAAGTGTATGTAACCCGAGGTACTACTGTACTAAAATTCTATGATATCTGTGATGTCTAGGACCTACTTTATGGGAAGAGCCATAGCTCAGTTGTAGAGCATCTACTTTGTATGCAGAAACTTCCAGGTCCAACCCCTGGCATCTCCTGGTAGGCTGAGGTATAACTCCACCTGAAACCCTGGAGAGCCACTTCCAGACAGTGTAGACAATACTGTTGGGTAGATGGGTCAAAGGCCTAACTCAGCATAAGGCAGCTTCCTAAACTCCTACTTTGAGATACTTCCATCCTTCTCTTCAGCAGCCAAGGCTCTCAGATCAGATTACCTCAAACTAATAAAACTAATGCCAGCAATAAACCTATAAGAATCCATTTTCAAAAGCCAATGAAGTAAGCACAATAAATATGCAACATTATAAAAAGGCCTTGTTTCCAGTAATCCAAAGTATTGATCAACCTGGGCATATTAAGAAAATAATAATACAAAAATGGAAATTGGACCAGGTACATGGTCTGGCAGTACTCCATGATCCATCTCTGTCATTTGAAGTTCAAGTAACCTCAGGGACCAGGAGTGCTTTTTAGCAGCTCTGTCTGGTACACCAGCTTCAACCATTCTTGACTGTGACAATCTGGCCACAGTTGCCTATGCACTGGTAACCTCAAGACTTGATTACTGCAATGAGATCTATGTGGGGCTGCCCTCTGCTCTGGTCTAGAAGAATGCAGTGGCCAGACTGCTCACAGGAACAGCTTCGTGGTACTTGTGTTAAATCACGAAGCCCTAAACAACTTGGCCCCAAAGTACCTTAAGGGCCATCTGGTCCCATATGCCCCACCCTGATCATGGTAATCCTCTGATGGGGCACTTTTGGTGGTTCCTAATGCCCCTGAGGTTTGGAAGGCCTTCACTAGGGACTGAACCTTTGCTGTGGCAAGAACTCCCTACTTGTAGAGACCTGGCAGGAATCATCCCTGTCTTTTTTTCACATGTCTTCTAGAAATTGCACTGTTTAACCAGGGCTTAACAATATGATTTTCTCTTTTTAACAAACCTGTTTCTACAAAAATGTTAATATTTTTGGTGTACATTTGAAATACCACAGATGTACACATTAAAAAATAATTAATACTTTTACCATAGTAAACACGTGGAGCATGAAGCAAACAGTCCTTCGATAACACAAACCAAACATGGATAACAGCACAATCAAATCTGAGAGCAAATTTCAACTTCTTCATCATGCAGTGCCAACCATGTGTGGAGATTGATGAGAACGGTTAAGGGAAGTTCTATTAGAGGCAGAATGATGTTGGAGATAACAAGGTTACCACACCATTATGCATTTTCCGCATGAAAGGCTATATAAGCCTCATTGACCATCAAAATACTGTGTCTGTAATCAAAGTCCTTGAAAGCAAATAGTAGTGCGGGGGGATACAGTGTTTCTTAAATGAGAAAGACAACACTGGCTAGAAAATGATATGTAATCAGAATACAGGGGTGTCAAACCTTTTCTTATTCCTGGCAACTGTGGCATTCCTTAATTTTTTGGGGGGAGGGGGACATAATGCATGAGGCTGGAATGTAAAACAGGTGAAATCAGAGCTAAAAATGGGGAAGGGTCCCAGCTCAGAGGTAGAACATCTGTGTGGGTTGCAGAAGATCCCAGGTGCAGTCCTCAGCATCTTCATGTAGAGCTGGAAAATACTTTTATCTAAAATCCTGGATAATTGTTGAGTCCATCTGTGTAGCCATTATTGAGCTAGATGGACCAATGATCTGTCTTGGTATAAGGCAGCTTCCCAAGTATCCCTTTCTTTTTCTACCATCCTTTTTTTGTCTCCCGCTCCCCCTCATTCTCTGCCACTACCTTTCCCAGGTTTTATTCCCACGCCAATTAAATTAGCCTGTGGTCCACGTGCTGCTCAAGGGCCACAGGTTCCTGCAGGAAAGTCGTGAGCATGTAAAACAGGAGACGTGTGGGGTTCGTTCGGAGAGGAATGCTTAATAGCTCAGATAAGAAGGCATGGCGAAACCTGCCTGATTCAGCATGCCAACTGAAAAGAGTAGCATTAAAAGTGTTCTGAAGGCTTTGCATACTCAATGAACTATACCCTCAGAAATGAAACACACTTAATCCAAATGTCAAATGCATGTTTGCATGGAATAGAATGGGGAAAAGCCATTATCTAAAGAGCACAAAAGAGGAGGGGGGAGGCTTTTAAAACCTCTGATTTTTAAAGCCTTTAATAAACTATGCTGATCATAGACACCATGTCCTGCACTATACCCATTTGCAATCTCTTGGATCAATAGGTTGCCATCCAGGGGGTGCCCAAGAATCTGGGCATGTTGAGTTGGGTTTTTTAAGAACATAATACAAGCCTGCTGGATCAAGGTGATTCCCCATCTAGCCAGCATCATGTTCTCATAGAGGCTGACCAGATGCCTTTGGAAAGCCTGCAAGCTACGCATGAGTACAACAGCAAATCTGCCCTCCTGCCATTCCCAGGTATTCAGAGGCACTATGCCTCTGACAGCAAGGTTTGAACATAACCATTGTGACTAGTAGCCATTGTCCATGAATTTATCTAATCCTCTTTTAAAGCTATATTTGCCCATTTCCTGTGTTCATCTACCTTCACCCTTTCTTCCTCTTTCTTTCTTTGACACATATTTTCAAGTTGCATTTTAGTGCATCCAGTATCTACCTCCATGCAATGGTTTACAACATTGTCAATATAATAACAATACACTAGAGCCAAATTATTGAAATCACTACAAAGGAACAAAGGTCTTAAATATAGGAGCCATAAAATGCAGACCAGAATAAATCGTGAAAGGCCAACAGAGAGAGTAGTATACCTAGCACCTTGGATAAGGTTTTCTAGATATATGGGGCCAGCACAGAAAAGGCCCCATCTCTGATATTTGCCAACCTAACATTCTCATGTGGTGAACCAGATGTCAATCTTAGAGCCCAAGCAGGTTCATGGCAGTCCTTCAGGCAACCTGGGCCCAGACCATTTGGGGCTTTAAAGATTCATGCCAGCACCTTAAATGAAATTTTGGAAATGAAAAGGTAGCTAATCTAAGTGGCACAGGGTCAGTGAAATATGGTCTGACTACCTAGCTCATACAGGAATTCTGGCTGCCATATTCTGCACCAATTGAAGCTTCTGGGGCATCATTAAGTGCCGCCCTACATAGAGTGCATTACAGTAAGCCTGCCTAAATGTAACTAATGTATGTGCCAGCGAGGTGAAATATGCCTTCTTATTTTTATATACCCCCCCCACACAAATACATACTGATTACAAAGTGTCTTTTTTATAATATACTAAGATAAAGCAGCTACTTAGTCTAAAAAAGAAAAAAAGACAAGAGAATGAGACACCTAAAAAAAGAGAAAGTGAGAGACAGGTCAGAGAGCCAGAGTCGTTTTACTCTCTATCTTTCTTTAGTTTTTTTTCTTTCTTTCCCCTTTCTCTCGAAATAAGCCTTCACTAGACAAGGCCACAGTTGGCAAAACAACCAAAGCTGAAGGAAATATTGTTTAAAATCCTAAAGAACCAGACTGAAGCCAGATGGGAAGCCTATTCTTAGGCCTTGGCCTTTCAAGACCAGTGTATTAGATCTGCTAAGAATGCCATCTTGACTTTTTAAAATGGAACATGTCCTGACAGCAAGACATGTAGAAAAATTCCTCAGTGGTTGTCCACAGGAATTCCCTGCCTGTGAAGAGCCAACAAAGCCTTCCTGATGTCAACATACCAAGAGGTTTCAGCAGAAGTTGCAGGCGTCACCTCTTTTTTTAAAAATCAGGTACTGTGTAAAAAGAAACATTTGAACATGTTCTTTGCAAGGATACATGAACATTGTACCTATATTGAGAGAACAGCATCTTTGCATGATCAAGAAACTTCCTCATTTACAGTTTACAGGGGTCAGCAAACTTTTTCAGCAGGGGTCAGTCCACTGTCCCTCAGACCTTGTGGGGGGCCAGACTATATTTTGAAAAATAATAATGTACGAATTCCTATGCCCCACAAATAACCCAGAGATGCATTTTAAATAAAAACACACATTCTACTCATGTAAAAGCACCAGGCAGGCTCCACAAATAACATAGAGATGCATTTTAAATAAAAGGACACATTCTACTCATGTAAAATCATGCTGATTCCCAGACCGTCCACGGGCCGGATTTAGAAGGTGATTGGGCCAGATCTGGCCCCGGGCCTTAGCTTGCCTACCCATGGTTTACATAATACACTGAAACACTGAAGGAAGATGCAAACGCAACGGTCTATCTTCTTATCACCACTTCTTAGTAACATAAGAACTCATTTTGAGGTTTTGATGAGTCTCCTGGGACTTTCTTAGTGGTGAGAGAGACTCTGTTGGTGATTCCTGTTAACGTGCAAACCTGCCTCAGGCCTGTCGCTTGTCTGTTTGATGTGGTATAGCACTTAAGAGGTGACTTTTTCTAATCATTCCAGGTTTTGCATGCCAAATATTTCATTTGCATTCACTATCTTTTGGGGCAGTACAGGGGCAAGGATTGGTGGAAGGTAAAAAAAAGGTGAAGAAACCAGCTTTTGCAGAGTATATGCTAGAAAGCAGGAGCTATAGCTGAAGGAAGAACTGAGTGGAAAATAGCAGGAGGGAAATATAGATACAATTGTTGATGGGACAGTAATTTGATCCAGTCTACATTTAAATGCAAGGTTTACATAATTTGCATGTCCCATAACAATACGTAAAGTTATTCTTTCAAACTGCACTTCTCCAAATTTTGTTCTCCACCCAAAAAATGGGTACAAAATCTGCATATTTGCATATAACAGCATGCACAAAAAAGACTTACATTAGTGAAAATGATGTACAAAAATACATTATATTAGATAAAATTGCTTGGAAAATGTGTATATTAGGCAAAATTGCATGCATGAAGCCACCAACATTGAGTGGAACACTGATGATGCTGCCTGCTGCAGCCACGGTTGCCCAGTGTCCCAAGATAGCCTTTGTAGGATACTTTGGCAAGGGCCCCCTGAAACCTGGAGACAGCCCTGATGGAAGCATATGCAGACCTGAAAAGGGTGGCACAGGAGAGAAAAGAGTGGAGGGTGATAGAGCATC